GATGTTCTAGCTAGCAGCGTTTATAAAACGATTATATATCAAAATATCACGATGGAAGAGCGTTTGATCTGCGAGGTTAACGATGTGGCCAGTTAGATTCTATGAAAGGGCCTTTCTGTTTTTCTCTGTTAACTGGCCATCGAATGATGAAAGGTGTAAACAGCCTTCGCAAGTATTGTGTCCCGCATGGAGCAGATATCAAGTTTTGCCTCATGACTATGTTTCCAGTGCGGCCTGCGGCAATTTCGTTATTGAGTAACGGTCGTGCCGACAGCCCATCGTCATAGGATCTGTAAAATCCTACGGCCTGCGGGCAATGAATCCTCCTGATGAAGTTAGCCATGATGGCGACTGAAATATCACCTGATTCAGTTATCGTGTTAGCGCAAGCAATATCGACTGAATAAACGTACGTATCTGTCTTCTGGATGCATTGAATTACGAAATAATATAGTGACATAGTCCATAATCATGTATATGCGTTTGGAATAGTGGCGTTCGAGTCCAAAACTTCAGACTTTGATTTAAGCTGATTATTTCATTCAGATTAAACATATCTGATAACTGCAGACTTCGTGAACATCTTGTTCAGACGGCAGATGCGATGTTTGATCGTCATCTGTCCTACATTAGCAATAATTAGATTCAACTATGATTGAAAGTTAAGGTATTATTTACCGACTTTGAAAACTCTCCAAAAGCAGACAAAAACAAAATAGTGATCTCGTGTAGGATAAGCACACTGAAAGATACAATATTGAGCCGCAAGTTAGTCACAAGGCCTTTTATGAATTGCGAAACGGTCGGCCTACTCTGATTTTCATGCCCATAGCTTGTCGAGGTTTATCACCCAACTGTCCTTCAAACAAAGTTCATTTCTGTCTCTCGGTGCATATTTCAGAAAATTGAAATGAAACCTGTGTTATATCATGAAGCAGCAGATATTTCACTTCGCTGCTGAAGGTCCGCATACTTTGACCATTGATCGACTTGTTCATAGCCTCTGAAACTGCTCGCATAATGTCGGCCTAGTAGGGCCATATTTATTTTGCGATTTATATTTGTACTCGTGTGCATTGAGTGGTTGGATTTTCCTTTTTTTCGCTGATAGCTGTCGACCGTACTTTAATATGTGTATTTCCCTTACGTTGTGAGTTGACGAAGTCAATGATATGGCTGCAAGCGCAAGCATTATTGGATTCGTCATTGTGCGCTGATCTCTGTTCTGAAGCTGAGCAAACGCCGACATGTATTTAATCTTATTTCGCTGGTTTTAGACCAACCTACCGATATTCAAGATGAAGGAATCGAGCGTTCGTCGTCGTTACAGCGATTTTGAATGGCTCAGAAACGAACTGGAGCGAGACAGTAAGGTAACGATCATTAAGTGGTTTTGTCAGATTGTTTTTTGTACCCAATCGCTACGTGAATCGGTTAGGGCCTTAAACGCTTTAAAAGCGGCTTGCATGCTTATAGTTTCACAGATGATAAAGTCTGATATGACATGCGATTTCAAGCCAGAACAGTAAAATAACGAATGCAGGAGCGAAAAATCCTCTCATTACTGCCTTTTAACAGTATGGGATAAAATTAGGCACCTACTTTCTAATAGGTTTGTTTAGACTTTTCCCACCCGAAAGGATCAATGGCGTAATGCCTTGATAACTGGAGCACTCCATATAGTCTCGCATCTTGAACAGGGATACTATGTCCCACGTTTTCCAGTACACGGATGTCTTCTCTGTAGTCATGGCAGTTCCACAGTCAATTTTTATCCCACCATGTCTTGGCTGCTTAAACGTTTAAGCGTTTCATAGTGGATTTCATTGCTTCCATCAGCCTTACAACTTTTCATTCAGTTTTTCTACAGTTTATGTGAGTTCATGTACTGATAGTGACATATCGTTCGGTTTTGCTCTTCAGGCGAGTCTTATTGCATTTGCTCGGGTTAAGAAGTTCCTCATAGTACTCTCTTCATCGCCTAAGTAGGTCCTCATCCATAGCAGGAGGCGTCCGGTCTTGTCCTTCGGGACTTTAAGACCGCCCTTATTTCCATTTTGCAAGAGGCGGATAAGCTGCCAGAATGCCTTGCTTTCCGTCTGAAAATTCGACTCCAATATCTCACTGGATTTCTCCCAGGAAGCTTTGGCTTTTGTCACTGCTTTCGCTGCCGCGCTGAGCGCTTCTACATACCGCATGCGACTTTAAGGCTCTTTGCTTCCAAGCCATTGCTTGATTGCAGGTTTCATCTCACTGACTGCCAGTTGTACCACTCGTGTCCACCAGGATGTTCCTTTCTGACCTCATGGCGGCAGGCCAACCCGTTGAATCCGCAGCATTCGGCGGCAGCCTCGAGAATGCCGCTCGTGAAGAACTTCCACTTGGTTTCCACATCAGTGGTCCTCACCGAGACCTGTTCGAACCGTCGTGCGATGCTATTTTCAAATTGCGATCTCGTGTCCGTCGAAGTTGTTTCCCATTTTTTCTCTCTGGTGACTGCTTCTGCAGCCTGATTGTCGCGTGTTACTCGATTTCTCACAGCGTTACGTGCCATAAACAAGATGATGACCGTTTTAAAGTTATTCGCCTCTCTTAATCTCCCTTAACAATCACTACTGAGCGTCGTAAGTTAGACAAAAGATTACCAACTCCGTCATCGCCTTCCGTGCATAAGCTTCCTTGTACCAGATACACTGATACGCGCTTCGATGCCCGAATAAGGTGTTCATAATAAACTGTCCTTTGTTTGCACAAAACCGCAATAATTTTATACCGTAAATGTTGAGGCCGTTATGACTCTAATTTTCAATTACGCCTTCCACTTTTCAGTGTCTGCTCCAACATACGCAGTAAAATCGCCCATGAGTATGAGGGTCTCCGTATTCGACACTTTGTACCGAGCACACTTTACTTCCTCAAGGACGGAATCTACCCTCCCTCTAAATTAGGCGCATAGACCTTTAACAAGGTCAGCGCTTTATCATGTTGTAGCCTCTGCCGGAGGACTGCCACTCTTTCATTAACAGGCTTCCATTCAATGATTCTCTTTGCCAGGTTGAGTTTTAGCAACATGCCAGCACCAGCTTGAGGGCGTCGCATCGTTAAGTCAGCACACAACTAGAATAACTCCCTCTTGCAGAGGTTTGGGTTTCCAGAGCCTTTGCGTTTCGTTGACGAGAGTCTAACTATCTAGAGTTGGTACTTTGCGGCCTCATCAACTAGCTCTTGCTTTTTCCTTTTGAGTGAGGATATAATCCAGTTTCCGAGTGTAAGTTCCCACTGGCGATGTCGTTCTCTTGGAGCCTTTTCTGACATGCTCTAATGGCATCGCGCTGTCTGCCTCATCCGTTGAGAACAGGTAGTGACTCCGTTGTTGACTGGTATCATCGTCGTTTCGTTGATCTTCGTTAGCCATTGTTCCGTCCACGGCTGCCACAGGGCGATGAACAGGTTCTGATCGCTGACTCTTCGTAGCCTGTCTCAGTCTTCCAACAGCTTGTGCGACCTGTGGTAGCCAGAGTTACGACCAAGACGGCGTTAAGTTCAGCAACGGCAATGCCATGGAGGGAGGGACAGATGGCTATTT